TTTTTTAATGTGGTCAGATGGACCACGGATCAGATATTGAACTGATCAGAACAGATACTACACTTGATCTTAGCCAAAAGGCTGAGAAAGGTATTGGCCCGGGCTACTCTGGTAGCCTAGGTTACAATGATTTGTTTTTTCTAAATTTGATTCCCTGAATTTTTGCAGCTTTTGCAAATTCATGAGATATGGAGCAATGGACGCCGCTGCCTACCCTTATCTAGCCCAGAGGGTTCTTCAGCTATTATTTGAAGCCGCTTCACGGAGGGAAAAGGTGAGTTTTTTTTTTTTTTTTTTTTTTTTTTTTTTAAATTTTCTTTTTTTTTTTTTTTTTTTTTTTTTTTTTTGCCCCCCCCCCTAGAATTTCATATTTTTTTAAAGGAAAAAAAAACAGACGAACTGGAAGCAATATAATAATATATAATAATGTATTATATATCCCTATGTGGATAAGACGACGACTAGCTCGGCAGCAGAGAGCCCTTCCGATGATGCTGGCTAGAGAGAGAGAACGAAGACCGACCAAGGGCCGCGCTCCACTACTCACCAAATGTGCAAAATCCCTACACTTATTAAAATCGCTAGTGTGAGAATTTTGGCATCCGGGCCGTCCGCAGACCTACCGGCCCGACGGCCTGGATTGCCCCGCGATCTTAAGATTTTAAGATCACGAGGCGATCCAGGTCGTTTGCGGTCCTACCGGCCCAACGGCCCGGATTGCCCCGCGATCTGAAAACTTTAAGATCGCGGGGCAATCGGGGCCGTCGGGCCGGGAACGGCCTGGATCGCCGCTCGATCTTTGGACAACCGGTAGGGCCGTCCAGCCCTCAAAACGCCCAAGCGGCCCACATTCTCACTCTTTTGTGGGCGCCCGCTCTATTCCCACGCCTGCTCGACACATGGGGCTTCTGGACGCTCCTACACCTGCACCTACTTGGCGCGCCTACACTCGCGGCTGCTACGCGCCTACTCCCGTGCATACTCCTGCCTACTCTCTCTCCTGCTTAAGAGCATCGTGTCGTGGTCGGTGCCTGGTGGGCGGTGTGCATCGTGGTTGGTGCTTGGTGGTCGGGTCTACGTGCTCGGTGCTACGTGCTCAGTGCTACGTGCTTGGTGCTATGTGCTTGGTGCTCGGTGTCACATGCTGGGCGCTATGGGCTTGGTGCGCTCTCTCTCTCAACAGTCTATATCGAACGTGACATCACACACACTCTCGCAAATGCATCTCGGGCAGACTGTCGGGGTTCAACCTCCTGATGAGTCGGTGAAAATCCGACGAAACAGTCTGGCACAGTCATGCTCCTTTTTGTGGAGTTGTCCATAGCGAACATGACAACAGAGGCATGCACAAGCGTAGGCGTGCGCACGTGCGCAAGAGAGAGAGAGAGAGAGAGAGAGAGAGAGAGAGAGAGAG